CTCATTACTATTTTATAATAGACCAACAATACTGTGTTAACAGTACAATCGTGCCCAAAAACTCGGCCTAAAATCATTTTCATTTGTTAACTTGTTTGCAGATTTGTGTACAAGTGACAAATGGCGATAAAAAATAATATATATATATATATATATATATCAGTATTCAAGTATTATAATACCAAAAACTAAAAATATTTACAAATTTTATTCGAATTTCATAGATAATAAAAATGCTGAAATAAAATGCTTATATTGTTAATAAATACATTTATCGTACAACTATATACTGACTTAATGTATTTCAAAGACTAATAATTAAATTTTTTCTTTATACAAAAATATAAAGAAAACTTTGGTAAATTAAATCATGCTCTTTTACAATTGATGATATTTCGATAAAGATGATATTATTGAATAGGTACAATTTAATGAATATAATACATTTTGTCCTTGACATTTATAATCTTGAAAAAGTTTTTGTTTAATTTTTTATAAATATGATTGTTTTTCTTTATTTTAGTTAGATATGGCGGTTTATTTTTATAAAAATAAACAAAATATTTATTAATGTGGAATAAAATAACTGGTAATTATTTAATAATTTGTATCTGGGTATGTGGGTATGTGAAATGCCAAAACTAGCAAGCATTGAATGGCTAATTAGAGAATAAATTGTTTTAACATGAAATATTAATAATTTATGCAAATATTTCATTAATTTATATGTTTGTAATTTTATGGAATTTGGCATTTGTAAAATTGAATTACGTTCATTAAAAAGTGATTGCGTCTCTTTTTTCTCTTTTCTCTATTTAATATTTAATTTACAAGAGATGACTTTTAAAAATTTCATATGCGTATCATATGTGCTCATAATAAACTCAATAATTTTATTATAACAATTAATTCCTTCTAGACACATTTACATTTCCTCTCTGATCAACGTGCATGCAATTAATAAGTATAATTGAATTGAACTTTGACAGGATCAGACTAAGCAATGGGAATGAAAACACTTGCGAGTGTGGGTTAATATTCTATTTTAGCACTTACAAAAATTTCTTTGGTCTGCTCGCGTAAGTACGAGCTCACTTTATTATAGGTATAATTAAAAAAGACACTTATGCAGAGCCCCACCAAGTGACAGGAGAAAAAAGCAACATCTTAAAGTGAAACGTAAAAAGCTCAGAGCGAGTAAAATGAAGAACGCCAGAAATTACACATACAGACTCGCGCGCCTTGGACGAGCCGAACGTGAAGGGCGGGAGGGGGGAAAGAAAACGACGAAAATAGAGCGCCAGAAGAATATGAGAACGAGATAAATAAGCAGGCGCTCCCGACGACGCAAAGAAAGGGAAGGAGGGGGAGGAGAAAAAATGGAGAGAAATATGCCAAGAAAGAGAGAAAAAAGGGAGAACCGAAGGAGTCAACAGTCGGCCAGCAGCAACGGAACACACATATAATGCATCGGCTTCTGCGCGGCAAACACTGAAGGAGCACCGACCACCAGACAGAGGCTGACTCTCCTTCTCTCCGTCTCCCTCTTCCCGGTCTCTCCTCCTCTCCAACCAACGCCTTCCACATCTACACGCATTTTGCTCCCTTTATGCACCATAGGCTCGGTGTTTAGATACTTTTTAAAATAATTACGTTGAATTAAAGTCTTCTGACTCTGTCATTATGTTTGTTTAGCCAATTTTTCCTCGAACTTTACTTGACGGCTGTTCTGCGTAAATGATAACTTTTCTTTGATTTAAAGATTTGTAATGACTTTGTCCAGTACCTCGTACTTTGATTCGGATTTTTTTTTAGTTCAGCGAATAGTGCAAACTAATGACTTCTGAGAATATTTTAA